GTGGAGGAATTTATGATGAAATGCTACAGTATCTTTCAGGTATTTCTCGTGCAAGCTTACGCAAAAGAACTCAAAGAACTAAACTTATATATAAATTATTTAGTGCAATTGAAAAAGATAAAATTAGTCAAATTAAATCTTATAGTGCAAATAAACTCTTAAAGCTAACTGATAAACAAATTGATATAATTATAAACTATTATACTACCAAAATACTAGTGCGTGACCAAAAGTCTTGCACTCACGTGACAGAATCCACTCTAAAATCCAGATTTAATCTGAGTGATAACAAAAATTACACGACCAAACCATCTAGCTTGAAAGATGCATCAAATATTAAGGCAAGTATATCTACTGAATCGTCTCATACCTCTAATTCAGAAGATATGATAAATGAGAAAGTTAAAGATTTATCGAAGACTAAGGCAAGTATACTGTTTAATCCAACTCGTGATCATGCTTATTTCTATAATAAAATATTAAAGCAATATCCTAATTTATATCGAGAAGGTAGTGATAGAAATAATGATTATTATGGAATTACTGATGAATCTTTATGCCCGCTATACAAGTTAGATTATGATGATGATAATGATATAGGAAGCAGATATGAAGTTGGATCCTACTATATTAAATGTGAACAGCATGAACTTTAAACTTATACTAGCACAATTCGCTTAAGTCTTCTGAGGCATATTTATTTTTTGTTGGTTATTATTAATTTAGAAAGATATATAGTCATATACATAAAACAGGAACATGGATATACAGGCAAAAGCTAATAAAACATTGACTCCTGAATATTTAGAATAGGAAGCTAAATTAACAGAATTGCTGGGTATTTTGACAGATAAAATTCATTCTAAGTTATATAAAAGATATAAGAATAAAACTAGATTCGATTCCTGGATAAACTCTAAAACTTTTGAGTCCCCACAAATCAAAAAGAATGCTGAAAAAAAAGACATTATTTGTATCACAGATAAATGTTCAGTCTACACTATCCAAACTTCGATCATCAATTTCTATTCTATCTAAAAACCCAGAAGAGAACAAAAACATGTTATTTAAAATAGTATTAGAGCGATTTCTTTATTTAACTTTGAAATATAGTTTTAAATATAATAATTATTTTGATTTTAATAGATCTGTACTCTGTCCTATATGCAATAAAGATCATAAAAAAGAAAATATAAGAAATAATATAGAGGGTTTATGGAGAAGTGGTGATTATGTCAATACAAAAACATATCATCTTACATGTTGAGAAATAAATATCAGAATTCAATCCCAATAGTAACAGTAAAAGCATAGATTAATAAGTAAAACCTATTTACACAATTGGTTAAAGAAAAAATAGAAGCCTACCGAACCCTCTCTTTATTTAATAAAAATTGTTGCGAACCAACAATATACAAATAAAAAATAAATAATAATTTTTTTTCTGATTATACATTAAGGATTATAATTATCTTGATTACTATAATCAGCATTACTAGTTGAATATCACATATAACTATCAAGAGAATAGTCAACCTTATCTCTATATCTGTAATAATACAAAATTGGCTTATCGGAGATATGATCTATTTTGAATAGAAAAAAAAACTAAGTCCCTGGTGATTGTATTTACACAATGTAAACTTTACTTACAAGATCTGAGACTATATGACCTAGGTACATAATCTACTGGGATAACAACCCTGAAGGCGTTAAAATCATTAGTCGTGAGGACATTGCTATTATTGGTCTTAGGGTTGTTACTATTATTAATTATAGAGGTAGTGGTGTTATTACTTGTGGTGGTAGCGTCATTAGTCTTGGGGGTGGTGTTGATGTTATTAGTCTTGGTTGTGGTGGTTTTTTTATTACTGCTCATTTTTGTACCTAAATAAAAAAAAATCATAGTAAGAAAAAATTTGGTCTCATAGCTGAAGTAAAATGAAATAACACAAATTACTTAAAAAAATACAGGCAAGTCAAATAAAAAAAATATGAGCAAAAAATAATGTTATTGCTAACTTATCTTACGGGTAGAAACATGTTTATTTTTATACTGCCTATTCGCTAGATCTAGAGAACCTGTCAGAAGGAAAGTTACATAATTAGTAATTGCAATAGAATAACGCAATCTAGATTCTACCATGTAAAGCAAGTCTACTCAGTTATAAGTTCCAAATGCTGAATCTATTTTGCCATTTTTTAGTTAAAATATGACCTCCTAGATTTGCTGATCATTTTAGAGTAGGCTAGATCTCAAAGATGGCGGAGATTTGAAGTCTCTTTAACATATAAATTTGGATAAAACCACTGATAAAGAATGTTATAATCATTACCCTTATAGCCTTTTTAAATCCCATTCTTATCACAGAATCATATACGTATAAAAAGGTGTTCATAAAATTGGTTAACGATTAAAAAATCAATGTTGAGAAAGAATTATGCATTAAGGTAATACCGCATAAAATTTAATGCCAGCCATTAATTATTAAAGCTGGTCAAGGTTTTATCTCTAACTGATTATCAAGCGATCCTTGTTTTAGCCAAAATAAAAAGTGATTTAAGTCATATGAGATTATTTATTTTTTTCTAGCACAGATTTGAAATAAGACGGTTATTAACTATAAAAATTAAATTACCATTACGTTGTTACATGGTCGTGTTAAACTAACACACATTTATGTTTACAGATACTTATTTCAGTATTTGTGTATTTACTATTACAGGGTAACAATGCGATGCTGGATGTTTAATCAACATGCTTTGCTATAATGCAAAAATAATGAAGTATATAACAGTTATTCGAAATTTATAAATCGAGCTTAAATATCGATATATAGTGTGTAAAATTATTACCGTATCTGTGTCTAATAATTGTGGTGCCGAATTTAATAAACAATGCACTCTGGTTAATTATTGTTTGTGACAATAGTATCCTTTTATATAGATCTTTCAATTTTTGATTTTTCTTACTGATATTACATTACACTTTCTTATGCTAAATAGTTTTTGTGTTAATAAGACAATTGCTGGAGCTATTTGTGCAAGTATACTTAGTCAAGCAAAAATTTTGTTTCTAATATTGAGCGATAGAGCCTCTAACTATGTGTGTTGTGAGATTAAATATGCTTATAATTACTATTTGGTAGCCCAGTACTTTGATGAAGATAATCGTTTGTTCTGCAAAAAAATATACAATCTATTTATCCTTCATAATATAGTCTTCTTAGGTGCAGTCATAACCTTTAAAGGTAGGCTTAGGATTCAACTGCTATCTTCCTAAAATTTAGTTTTTTCTATATTTATAAAAACACTATCATAGAGGGCACGATTGTCAGACTATTATTATCTATGTAGCAAGGAAAAAAAGACCTGATAAGCTTCTCACGGTTTAGTCCACTAAGCTATGTGATGAGAAATAGTTTGAAAGTATCCACCTTGAAACTTATATAAACATGCCATTTTTCTTTATCTTAAACGTGATCGTTATCCTCAATGTGGGCCATGTGTAAGAAGAAAGGTGATGCAAACTTTCTAAACAACCAAACTATACTACAGAAAGTGATTGAATGTATCCACCAGAAAAAAATATAACTGAAATTTAAGAGACTTGTCTCATTGTTCTGCAATACCTTACCATACTACTATCGATGAGTAAAGTTATATTTAACCTGAACCAGGTATATATTGCATTTCAAATTTGTTAATTTATGTTGAATTGCTTTTGTGTTGATAGATCAACCACCCAGGTTACTTGTTTACAGATATACATAGTTATGCAAAAAATTTCGCTTGAGTCTTCACCTCTTGATAATAGGGCCTTTGACTTTGTATATTATATATTCGAAAGGCATAATCATCATTTCTGGTAGCTCAGTACTTTGGTTTGGGTAGTTTGTTCAGTCTGCAAAAATTGTCAAAAAAGATTTTATTAGCTCAGTTCAGATTAAATATAATTCTAATCTTGATATGTACTTATTTTTTCTCATGCCCATAACTTATTCTATGCTTCTAATCAACTATAACAACTAGCACGAGTGAAACCTTTTTAGGTGAGAAGTCTATATGTTGCTGAGACTTTAAAAAAATTATTATTAATTCGAAATTTTAAATAAATCTATGCTTTATATAAAAAGTATTATCAAATATGCAATCTGAATTAGATTTACTCAGACAAGAAAATACTAAACTTATAAGTAAGAATGTTTTGCTTCTGGCTAAAGAAGCAGGGCTTATAGCCAGAATCATGGAGTTGGAACAATTTATAAAAAAAAACGTTGAGCTCAAGGCTAGTATCGCGAAATTGATATTTGATATAAAAATGAATTGCATATTATCTAGCTATAGGTCTGTAAAATCATAGTATATAATCTGCTATAAATCATTATAAATCGCTAAATCGCTATAAATCGCTAAATTATTATAATCACTAACTATGATAGGTTTTGATATCTCTGTCATTTTTGATAAAAAAGATAAAATATTGCCCAAACCCTTTAATAACCATCCTGGGTATGATATGAAGTATGTTATATTATATTGCCTCAATTATTGTAATTACAGTGATGAACAACTTAAGCAACTCTATGCAACTGAAAGATTATATAACAACTTGTCTATTGTGAGACAGGATGAAAATCTTATTCAATAGGCAATGCGAGTTAGAATTGATCTTCAAGATTTGTTACTCCAACAAAAATTTAGTATATATCACCGATCTTGCTTATTCGCTTCTTATCCTGAAGATAAGTTAGAAAATTTTAATTACTATCACCCAAAACTATTTAAGAATAGGACTCAATTTGCTTTGGGTGTTGGAAGGTAATTCGTATTAATGTTGATGTAAAGTTGAAGAAGAAGCACCATTTCTTAAGAGGTAGATATGTAGAAATTCTTAAATCTAAAGACCTGATGCAGAAATATTGGGATTATGGATATGATAAAGCTAGAACTAGAGATGGTTCAGCAAGAATTATTCAACAGGTATATAAATAATTTCAAGAAAGAGTACCATCGAATATACGACTTGCTTAGAACAGCTTAGCAAATAATAATACTCCGGATAATATGAAATTTTTAGGTTTAACAAGACATGAAGTAAAAAATTCTTAGACTCGAAAACAATTTAATCAGTAGTATACTAAATGGATTGAATTATATAAAAACAATCCTATGATGCGTAGTTCTATTATTAATAGACAATATAAAGAATATTATATTTCGGATAATTAAATAGATTCTAAAAAGAGTTAATTGTAGATTAGATTCCAAAAACAACTTTTAGAAATAGAAGCATAGTATATATTTATTCAATTTATTAATTGCTTCACAGGTATAAAATACCTATACTATTTATATAATATTTTTTGGCTATACCAGCTCTACTGATACCCTTGAGAACATAGATAGGTAGTTGTTCACCGTTTTCCTAATGCTATTCTTGAAATCACAATTAAGGAATATATTATGAAATTTCTGGAATAGAAAATACTAATGTGAAATAAAAATCTATGAAGTGGGCTCAGCAGGTAATGCATTTTTTATCTTGCATTTTTGCCATAACTCTATCTCTTTTGCAAATCTAGTAGAGTATCAAACCTTAGCCGAATTGCAAGTAGATCATCTTCTGCTCTATTAAGGTTAAATACAATAAACTCACTCTTGCAAAAATAGCTATTAATAACTATTGATGCATTTTTTACATTATCGGTATATCGACCAACAATTTTAAAAACATCTTGAAGAAAACTACCACCATTAAATATTAATATATAAGAAAGATTCTCACGTATAATTATTGAGATATGATAGTATTTTTGTATAGTAAATATAGGTGAAATATTTTGATGACGTCCATATGTGAAAAATAGGATAATTCGATTTTGTATAGACTCAAAGGCAACACATAAATCTTCAAAGATAATAACAGTACTTCTTTCGAGAAAAAAAGATTTTACACTAGGAATTTTTTCAGGTGAGATATAACTAAACCTAATATTTTTATAATATAATGCTCTTGGATTACTTGCAATTATTTCATATATATACTTAACAAAAGCTTATTTTGGTTTATCAGGATAGTATTCACAAACTATCAAATCATTATACCGTATATATCTAGATCTACCCTTTTTCTTTTTATATATATGTTCAGCTTTGTCACTAAGAATAAAATTTTCGAGTATATTAGTTTTACCTGTGCTACTTTTTTTTGTAACTAGCTTAG